GCATTGAAAAATGGTTTTACTTTGCTCCATATAAATAATGTAAACTTAAGTGATTTACTGTATAACTTTAATTTAACACAATATTAAGTCCAGCTATTTTCAGTCAAGTCATCTGAACGGTTTCTTTTTTTTGTGCTGAAACTTTTTACCTTCCATCCAGAAGGCTTCATCAGTCAAGGAAACACGCAACACAAAACTGATTCTTCCCCCAACAGCTTACTCCAAAGTGGAACAAACCAGTTATGTTGGTGCTAAGATGGTGTCTTTGGCACGCCCCCCTCCTCCGGTGCCGGCCCTCTCCCTCATCGACAGTCTTCAAAACCAACAAAGTCCATGCTCATTAATCCAGGTCCAGATGACCCAACTGAAAATTGTTGGATTGCGTACCTGGATTATTGAGCATGGACTTTGTTGGCTTTGAACAATATTATGTGGCTGTGGCAGCCATTTTTATTCAGGCTGAACAATAACTTGTATAATCCTGTCTAATGCTGAATGCTAAGAAACGCCTTGTGACTGCAACTTTCCTTCCCTCCATTGACATTATTTACATGAGCGCTCCTACAAGCACCCTGCATGTTGGATGCTGTCTATCATGGTGCGCTAACATTCATAACTGGCTGTGATTATCGTACCCACCACTGCACCCTGTATTCACTGGTTAACTGGACACCATTAACTTCACACAGACTCTCTCACTGGTACATTTTCATCTTTAAATCACTTCCTGGTCTGCTGCCTTCATACATCTCCTACTACATGTCTCTGCGTGAGTGCAGCTACAGCGTGCGCTCTCAGGACATCACTACCTGCAGTGTTCCGCAGTGTTCCCTCAGTGAGGACTGAACTAGACAAAAGGGCCTTCTCTTACTCCGCTCCTGTTTCCTGGAATATCTTACAACAAGATCTGGAGCCCTCGACCTTGACCTCTCTAAGTGGCTTCAAACATCTGTCAAGTTCCTGGGAAAAACCATTGCAGACATGTTCCTGTTTTTAGTTTTCTACACCGCCTTACAACCTAAATGGTTTTTTGTTACATTTTCTTTTAAACAACATTTTATTTCCACATGTTAAAAAAAAAAAATCTCAATTTGAACACATCTTTTATGATCGTCTATTGTTGTCATCACTCTGTTAAATTCAGGTCTCTCTTGTAAATGAGTTCCTGAGGCTCAGTGGGATTAACCTGTATAAATAAAGGATGAATGAATGAAAAGTGCAATATTCCTAATATTCCTAAGGAATGTGACGACATCAAAGTAAAAAGTTATGGGAATGTGAAAAACTTGGAGGATGCAAAAGATCTTATGCAAAAAAACGTTCCCATTTTTGTTCCCGTGTTTGTCAGAAGGAAACTAGCATTTCTTGAAGGAAATCATAGTTCGCTCTCCTGCACGCCAATGTTTTAAACAGTTCTTGTGCCTCAATTACAAACCGGATTCCAAAAAAGTTGGGACACTAAACAAATTGTGAATAAAAACTGAATGCAATGATGCGGAGATGGCAAATGTCAATATTTTATTCGTAATATAACAGATGACAGATCAAAAGTTTAATCTGAGTAAATGTAACATTTTAAAGGAAAAATATGTAGATTCAAAATTTCACAGTGTCAACAAATCCCAAAAAAGTTGGGACAA